AACAAAATATGAACTTCAGACAGTTTATCCACAACGAAGACCTAACACTAATTGATTATCGAGAAAGTTCTGGTTGAAAAAAACTGATTTAACATTAATCTCCCCATACGGTTCTTTATAATCAAGCTTATTTGGATGAATTTTAAGCCTTCTCAACGTTCTTTAATATTATATATATATATATATATATATATATATATATATATATAATGAGTTTTATCTTCAGCAAAGGGGCCCAAAATTGTTAGATTTATTTGAACTGTTGTATCTTAGAAATGATTAAAGATATCGCTCGGTGAATTCTAGCACGTTGGTTTTAACGGACCACTTTTTAGAACAGTGTTCGTTTGAGCAATTTCTTCTATAATGTCATCTTCAAATTCAGGATCATAAACAAAAATATGTTCATTAATTAATCATATTTAAGGATTAGAATTTAATGAGGAATTCTTTAAATCTCTCTTTGTCCTTGTTTATGCCATATATATATATATATCATAGGATCATTTTCCTAACTTATTCAAGATGATTCTGAACTCTTTAACTGAATCTATAAATGCCCAGTAACATTTTCCTCTTTTTCATCTTATGATTTCATTTTAAAGTCTTTTTTTTTTTTCACTGTTCTTTGGACTGTCATAGCTAAAATTCCTTTCTTCTCACATACCAAATGTCTTATGGATTGAATTGGATTTTTTCTAATTGATCTCTTTAGCTCTAAGTTGAAATGAGGATCCCTCTTCCTGTTGTGACCTCCTGATCATTTTCCTCTCTAATGTCCCCTCCTTTTTAAACTTATTCACTGTTCTCATGATCGTTCTTGAATGGACTTTGAAGATGGAAGCCAGAGTATGGTTGGTACCATTACTAAAGGCCTGAATGATCTTTTTCCTCTCACCATTGTTCATTTGGGAATGCAGTGGGCCTAACACAAAACAATTTTAACCTGCTCTCATTTTAGAGGAGTAACTCAGAGTTTTTCATTGATTCTTATGAAAAATGGTGTCAAGATGTTTAAACATTATCTGAAAACTTGGAAAAGAAAAATTCAATTAGTTTAGTATTTTATTTTAGTTTGTGGGATGAATAATTATGCTGCTACCCAATTTTGTTGTAATACTCCGTTTATGTATGTATGTGTGTTTATTTATATATATATATATATATATATAATATAAAAGTGAACATAGAAGTTCTAGACTTATATGTTCACTTTTATATTTACACACGCTCTATCTCTGATATCGAGCACTTTATCCCATAAATATAGCACACCTTAAGACTATATTTCTTTATTTATATATATATATATATATATATATATATATATATATATATATAAACAGATAAAACTGCCTATTTTTTCCCTAAAAGGGTAACATTTTTTTTTTTTTTTTTTACAGTCAACACTTCATCAGAAAATTTTGCAGCTAGTAAAATATTAATGAGAATTGCTGAGCGATAGACAAACTGGGAGGACACGAGAAACTGCAATTAATATATATATATATATATATATATATATATATATATATATATATATATACACACACACACACATTTTTCTTTGAACACTTTTTTTAATTTTCCTATATTAATTAGTTTAGTGTTTTTGTTTGTTTTTTCTTTTAAATATTAAATATTTTGTGGGATGCATATGCTATTAACCATTTGGACAATTTTACTGTTTATATATACACGCACACACACACCATGCATTATGCCTGATGATTAACCGATCTTTAGTCATTGTATTTACTGTTTCTTATATCCAAACCTTTTATTTGCAATATTGAGCAATTTTCTTTTAGAGAAATTTGATGACATACATAATTTTGTAGAGATGTGTGCATGCAGCTGGAGAGATTGACTTGTAGCTTAAAACAAATATAAAAATGAGGTTAGTCCTTTTTGCAACTGTAACACTTCTGAATAAGGCTGCCATCAGCATGTACATATTTTTTAATTATCTGCAGTTGTTAAATGTTGATGATTCTGCATGAACAGCTGTTATGGTGAGAAATATTTTTATCTTCTGTACAGGCATTCATTATTATTAACATCAGTTTCTCTGTTAATATTTTTACTGATATTATTATACTGTATTTTTCTTTTTTAGGAGTGTTTGGATTTTCACTTGGCCCTATCAGACGGAATTACTGGTAAGCTTGCTATTTTTAGATAATTATGTTGTATGTTTAAAAACTTAAATGGTTGATAAATATGTGTGTTTCTCCAATCTATAATATAAAATACAGTGTGACTATATTTCTGGTCACAAAACTTGATTTCCCTTTCTTCAGATGTTATCATAAATGGAAGCAAATTTTAAGTAGGAGGCATCAGGCTGATTGTTTTTTTTTGTTTTTTTTTAATTTTTGTGTTTTTAGTTGTTTTCGTTATTTATAGTTTAATGGTTTTAAAAATAATTTCTAACATCTGACAAGGGTTTATATTTATATTGATTAAAATCTCTGGTGGCTAATACAGAAAATATTATCAATGTCATTGCAAAATTACTTAAATATTGTATTTTTTATTTTGTGAAAAATAAAGGCTATAGAGAAATATCTGTACAAGGTACTGAAGATTAGTCTGAGTTTTTATGTTCCTCAAATGTAAAATTTTAAATATCTGTGTGTGTGTGTATATATATATATATATATATATATATATATATATATATATATATATATATATATCAAAAATGCTACACAATTGCAGTTATGCTTCAATGCATCCCATCATGCAATTGTAAATTACTTGCAAGTGAATGATTTATTTAGAGTTAAAATTAAAATACAATCCCTTTTTTATGAAAAAAAAGTGGGCGTTGTAAGGTTTGCGGACTTTACTCAGGTTATATTGGATTGGTTGAACTATGTAAATTTAAACTAAGCAAAGAAGCAAAAATTAAATTACTTTTCATAAATGAGTCATGGCCCATAGATTGGCAGTCAATGGCAGTACAGATGGTAAACAGGAATGAATGTTAATGGATACTTATTATACATACTATAATCTTTGGCTTAATAAAGCATTCTTATCAAAGCACCTGATAATTTCCAAATTTCTTTGATAAGAATGCTTTATTCAACCACTTGCCAGTAATTTACAATCACCTGATGAGGTGCATTGATATGCATCGAAACACAAATGCGATTGTGTTGGGATTTTGACAGTTTTTTGATGTAATATCCTAAAATAAATAATATTGCTCTACTTTGTAGTGAGCCATCTTTTAAATTAAATGTTACGAACGTGGGAATTGTACTCTATTCATTTTCAGCTTAGCTGGATATATATATATATATATATATATATATATATACACACACACACACACCTAAATTTGGTGTGCAATTTAAATTTCATTGGTTACCCAATTTTGGTTTTAATATATATATATATATATATATATATATATATATATATATATATATATATATAAAAACTTTTTTTCCCATCTATGTAATGAATGTTGTGTATTTGAGCAGCAATCACTCTTCAATATATGGCCTATTTTTAAAATAACTGATTAAGTACTTTGTACTTTTCTCTTATGTGGACAAGAACTTTGTCTTGTGGAACAAAAATGTAAATGCCCACAATGTATTGGCTGTGTTTGGGAATTGAAAATATGTCTACCTCTCAGCAAATGTTAGGCTGTTGAGAATCATTTAACAAACATCCTTAGAAATGATTAATAGGTTCACCAAAAATTCTTAGAACAATAATTTTGACAAGTTCTACAATAGCAAAATAAGTTTTCTCTCATACAAGAAAAATGCAATAAACAAACTTAATAGAAGTACCTTGACATTTTTAATGAAATTGTGAGATATATATCAACCAAGGTGAAATTTGAAATGATTAGAAAGCATGGTAAGGTTCAAAAATATATTGTACACATAATTGAGCATTTGTTTTCTATGAAACCAGGTTTGAATCTAACTATGGTTGATTTATCAGGGAGGTAACTTGATGGTATTGATCAGGGAAGGCAATCCTAGCATATGGCACTATTGGAAAGTACTTAAAAACAGGTACCATAAGTTGACCCAAGCCTTGTGAAGAAAATTGGGTTTATGAAATAATTTAGAAGTCATAAATAGTTGTCAGCATGAAGTTACAAGTCATGGTGACCAAGGGTTTGTGCCTTTGCCTTGTTCAAACTGTTGATTATACCAGTTGATGCACGATCTTCCAGAAACTGTAACTGAGGTCAACAGTATAGTTGCAATATAAACCAGCCATGGGTTAGAACACAGCTATACTGTGTTGACAATGGGGTCTGTGAATGTTGAAAGACTACAAATGTGCCTGAACAGGCATCTGCAACAAGGATTGGTTAATTGTCCGAGCAGATATGGGTGCTCAAGAATGTGTAATCAGCCATTATCATCCAGGTTTTATGAAACTCGGATACAAAGACTATAGCAATTTCTGTCTGAACTTCTAGGATTCAGTGTTATCCTTATTTACCTTGAAGAGGTATGGCGGAGTAAGGGATAGCGGCTCTGATTGAAGAATCGGAGAGCTGAGTTCGAAAAATCTGTCTCGTCAGTCATGTCTCGAAAGATGCATGATTGCCTAGGCATGTATCACACATGGCACATAACTGACTTATTTACTCTATCTATATTAAGTTTATAGTCCTCATCTTTGTTGTTGTGAATTTGATGACATAGTGATTGTGAGTTCAGTCCCTGAGCAGGGCAGTATGGATTTGGACTTAGTGGAAACAGGTAAGAAATAACTGAGCAGTACTAAAAATGAAATCTGGATGAGATATTCCTAGACATGGGTGGTGGAACGAGAACAGTCTACCCAACTTAGATTAAATAAAAGGTTGTCCAGAACACCCTGTAGGTTATCCAGGTTGATATACACCTGGTGAACAACCAAAATATTGTGATAATGACAAAGATGAGGATAATAGTTTGAATAGAGTGTAAATGATGACTTTATTGATCCTCCTGATACTTGCATCTGACAAGATGACTTTCCTCATTCTCTCTCTCTTTCTCTCTCTCTTTCAGTCTCTTTCAGTCTCTCTCTTTCAGTCTCTCTCTTTCTCTCTCTTTCAGTCTCTCTCTTTCAGTCTCTCTCTTTCAGTCTCTCTTTGTCTCTCTCTCTCTCTCTTTGTTTGTCTCTCTCTCATGTTTCTCTTTCTCTCTCTCTCTGCATGTTTGTCTCTCTCTCTCTTTGTCTGTCTGTTGTGTCTCTCTCTCTCTCTCTGCATGTTTGTCTCTCTCTCTCTCTCATGCATGTTTTCTCTCTCTCTCTCTCTGCATGTTTGTCTCTCTCTCTCTCTGCATGTTTGTCTCTCTCTCTCTCTGCATGTTTGTCTCTCTCTCTCTCTCTCTGCATGTTTGTCTCTCTCTCTCTCTCTCTCTGCATGTTTGTCTCTCTCTCTGCATGTTTGTCTCTCTCTCTCTCTGCATGTTTGTCTCTCTCTCTCTGCATGTTTGTCTCTCTCTCTCTCTGCATGTTTCTCTCTCTCTCTCTGCATCTCTCTCTCTTTGTCATGTTTCTCTCTCTCTCTCTGCATGTTTGTCTCTCTCTCTCTCTCTGCATGTTTGTCTCTCTCTCTCTCTCTGCATGTTTGTCTCTCTCTCTCTCTCTGCATGTTTGTCTCTCTCTCTCTCTCTGCATGTTTCTCTCTCTCTCTCTCTGCATGTTTTCTCTCTCTCTCTCTCATGTTTGTCTCTCTCTCTCTCTCTCTGCATGTTTGTCTCTCTCTCTCTCTCTGCATGTTTGTCTCTCTCTCTCTCTGCATGTTTGTCTCTCTCTCTCTCTGCATGTTTGTCTCTCTCTAATGAAAAGCACAGATTGATGTATGGCATAACTCTTATATTTTAAAAAATTATTGCATAAAACTGCAAGAGATTGTGTAGATATATTCATAAGTTCATAACATAATGACAAATGAATTTTAAGCACAATTTTTCAACATTGTCACCTTCTTTTAATTTGATATTAAATATTAATCATATAAATTGAATCTTTATAAAGTGAAAATTTCGGATCAAAATTCATATTCCAGGCTATGGATTCATTGATCTGCTCTTCTATCTAATAATGGCTTAATCTAGGAAATGTGTGGATACATAATGCTTTATATTCATTTGAAAGATTTGAAGAACTGGATGTATTCAGAAAGATTAACTCTTGCATTGTTGAAGTTTTTCAGAAATGTTCTTGAAATGATTGAATTCCAAAAAATTGGTATTTCAAGAAACAAATATTGAATACTGTTTTTTTTTGTTTTTTTTATTTATTTTTTTTTTTATTTATTGGGGTGTGGGTAGATATTTGAACCATTAACAGCTGTCCATTACAGGCAATTTTTACTATCACTGTCCTATGAAAAGGATAGTTTCTTTTAAAAAAGATAAATATCATTGTAGGGATACAGAAGATGCTTAGCTCCTTTTGATGGAGATAAGGGTCACATGACAGCTGCTTAGTGACATCACTTCATACAGTGACAATAGTGGCAGTCAATATCAGTTCATTTTACAGCAGCTAAAGCAAAAGGTTACTTTTTTTTTTTTAACTCAGGCTCCCCATGACCCAAGCAGGGGCTAAATCTACTCTCCCAGCAGCTTACAAGTCCATGGTGTCATTTCCCTTCCAGAATATATCATTCCTAGATATAGAAACTCCAGCTCACTGTCCTCCATTTTGGGAAAACCCTATCGTTTCCCATTTGTGGAGTATGTCCTTGCCTGGGAGATGAGGAACCCAGCCTGTTTGAATCGGGAGTCCTAGAAACGGCTTCTCCAGACACAGGAGTATCTCCATCTTATATGTCAAACCCTTTCTTTTGCTTCTCCTTATACTTTGCTTTGCAGTGTAGATATGTGATGTAATTTCTCTGCATGGGACAAGTATGTATGTATATGGAATATATATATATATATATATATCTCATCCACATACTAGCCTGTTTAGCTGTGTGGCTAGACATCTGATTGCCTCAAGTTGAAATCAAAAAGTTTATTGGTGCATGGCAGAGAAAGGGAATATTTTAATGTATTGTATATGTTATGCATATAAATGCCAAATCAGCAGCCAGAGCACTCAATTCATAACTGAAGAGTAATATGTTATAAGCAGGAGCAGTCACTGTTTTAAAAGTTCCATTTCCTTATAGTACCCCATACATACATACATACATATATATATATATATATATATATATATATATATATATATATATATACATGTATATATGTATATCTTAGTGATATAAAAGTCTCTCTCTGTGAGAAAAACGTGTTTGTCATTCGTTTTTCCTTTCAGCCATTCCATTCCATTCCATCCATTAACTTATCATGGATATGATAATGCCCATAATGGGAGAATAAACCATTCTTCTCTAGTTCTCTCCCACTACATCATTAATCTGGAAGTACTTATTTCAGATAGATTTTGTAGGCAACATTTTCTTAGCCTCTACTCTGAAAGATGAAAAGAATTATGAAAGACTCCTTTGAAATAAACTTTAAATAGTTATTTCCCTAAGTGGAATTGGAAAATTCCTCAACTGTGATAATGCTAGAAACATGTCTGCAGCTACCATTCATTGAACTATTGTCAGCCTGTCAATTGGCTTCATGCCATCTATTCATGCTTGGTTAATGTGAGCTTTTTGAAGTCCTTTTCAAATAGATCTGTAATCTTTATAATGGTTGATAAATTCAAGCAATGTCCCGGCAAAAGATTTGAAATGAAGCTTGGTAAATCTATGAAAACCCTTGAAATTCTTTATCAGGTTTTTGGTAAATGCCAAACCCCCTTTTCTTTTAGTGATACATGTCTGGCTGAGTGTCTATTCAATATGGTGGTCATCCCATGATGACCAATCCAATCACAAATGTAATGCAAGAAATGCTTTTTTTTGTTTTTTTTTTTTTGTTTTGTTGTTTTGTTGTTTTGTTGTTTTGTTTTGTTGTTTTGTTTTTTTGTTTTGTTGTTTTGTTTTGTTGTTTTGTTTTGTTGTTTTGTTTTGTTGTTTTGTTTTGTTGTTTTGTTTTGTTTTGTTGTTTTTTTGTTTTGTTTTTTTGTTTTGTTGTTTTGTTTTGTTTTTTGTTTTGTTTTGTTGTTTTGTTTTGTTGTTTTGTTTTGTTGTTTTGTTTTGTTTTGTTTTGTTGTTTTGTTTTGTTTTGTTGTTTTGTTTTGTTGTTTTGTTTTGTTGTTTTGTTTTGTTGTTTTGTTTTGTTTTTTTGTTTTGTTTTGTTTTTTTTTTGTTTTTTTTTTTTTTGTTTTTTTTTGTTTTTTTTTTTTGTTGTTTTTCTTTGTTGTTTTTTTTTGTTTTTTGTTTTTTTTTTTGTTTTTTTTTTGTTTTATTTTTTGGTTTTGTTTTTGGTTTTGTTTTTTGTTTTGTTTTTGTTTTTTTTGGTTTTGTTTTTTGTTTTTGTTTGTTTTGTTGTTGTTTTTTTTTGTTTTGTTTTGGGTTTTGTTTTGTTTTTTTGTTTTTTCAAAAAAATTAAGAAATCTAGCAATGGTCATCATGAAAGAGTTCTTGATTTCCTACCTGGAATTTATGAAGTCTGCCAACTTAACCTCAATATGCATCACATGACTGAAAATTAAAGCCAAAATTTGGGAAACACGTAAAACAGAGATAGGGAGAAAAGTAATCTTGTCATATCTAAGTTTTAGGGGGAACAATACAGTCATCATTTACACCAGCATTTCCCAACCTTTTTTCAACCAGCACCTCCTTTGAGCATAAACTTTTTGTCAACACCCCACTGTCAAATTAAATTTCGAATATTATACTGAATTCATCTTTCATAGCAAGATAACACTTAGGTATTAGTGCAAAAATAATACTGTTTTCATTTCTATTAAAAATGCCAATGATTAAAATCCTAAAAAAAACTTTTATTTGATAGCTTATCTCAAATGTTTTCAATGGTTGACTTTGGTGCTTACTGGTTAAGGCTCTTACTCTAGGTTGCATACTTCTTGGAAGTAATCATAAATCACCTTGTTTTGTAATTTACAGGCAGTTTCTTTGTTTAGTAAGGAGCTCTGTAAGTGCATTGAAACCACATTCAGCCCTATATGAAGTTGAAAAAGCAATACAGAAAACTTTGATAGTGTTCCACCGAACACAGTTCAGAAATTTTTTTTTAATATTGAATATTTTTTGAAAATTTGAAAAAAAAAAAAAAATGGATACATGCCAACCGCCACCTGAGTATGTTCATTGCCCCCCACCAAATGAAATAAATGAACATAACAGAGCCCACATGGGGACACTATCACCCACTTAGGGAAACACTAATTTACACTATTTATATTCAAACAAGAGAATTTAACAATCACAGGATGTAGAGAAGCCAGGTGATACAGAAAGTGATTTACTTAAGTTTATGAATGGATGATAAAGTGGCAAAGCTTACTTGGTGCAATTGTTGTAGAGAGTTTCTGGAAGGGATATAAAACATAAATCGTAATCATAGACAATAAAGGTTTACATTCTTGTTTTTTGGGTTGTTTTTTTTTGTGGGGTTGTTTTTTTTTTTGTTTTTTTTTTTGTGGGGTTGTTGGGTTTTTTGTTTATTGTGGGTTCTTTTTTTTTTTTTTTTTTGTTGGGTTTTTGTTTTTTGTTTTTTTTGTGGGGTTTTTGGGTTTTTTATGGTTTTTTTGTGGGGTTTATTTTTTTGTATTTTTGGTTATGTGGGGTTTTTTTAATGCCTCATCCATGAACCTTCTGATGTCTTCATTTCCAGTTCATTCAAATGATAGTTTTTTCTAATGAATTCTGGAAAATTAAAACTCACTTGATCCAATTAAGCTAACAAGTTATATGAAATGCCTTTCCTTGCAATTCAATTTTACATACACTTTACAAGCTATATTGACTGACTTCTTGTAATGACTAGAGTTGAACAAAATATGATAAATAAAATACAAATTAATAGTTTAAAAATAATTTTCTTCTCTGCCCGTCCATTTGTTTTTTGCTTCTATTCTATAATAGCATTCCAAATTCCCAGGAACCAGTTCTATAAGGGCAGGTAATCTTTAGAAACCTATGGAAAAAAACATTTTGATAATTTAATAAAAAGCATTTAAGATATTTCCAGATTGAAATTCTGTTAACATATTTCTGTTCAGAAGTATGATTCTTGTTTATTTACAGCAATTGTATTAATATTTTTAGCTGTTTGGTTAATTTTGGGTATAAAATATTTATGGTAATTTCTCATTACATTTTGATGTAATCACAGAAATCATTAACAGATCTCATTGTGAAATAATTTACAAAAGTCCAGTAATTTCTCTTCAGAATTTTTCCAAGGAACTACAACTTCTTCCATATTCCAAAAATCTGGGTTAACAATATTAACTACCATATTTGATGGCATATAAGATTCATGGGTGTACAAGATGCACCCCAATTTCAGCAGGGCAAATCAAGCAAAAATTAGTAATTAGTAAAATTATTAGTAAATGATACGGCCTAGGCTATATTTATGAGGTATTATTTTGGTTAAACAAGCCATGATTACAATAAAATGAAAAATAATAAGAAAAAAAGAACATGAGCCTATAAAACTTTCTTATATGAAAAGGTAAGAAAACAAAATAAAAATCAAGCCATTATTACAATTGAGCAAAACAATAAAAAATTTTCTTTTACATGATCTGTACAACCTGCGTCTTTGTTATAGTAGAACACACCTATTCTATAGTTAATAGACTCTCCCGCCTATAATAAGTAGGAGTAGTAAGAGTAACGAGTCAGTCGCTCAGTGAGTTGGTCAGTCAGTCGATGCCTGATGACCATTAGTCGGAT